TGAAGAAATGATTTTTCCACTTGTGTATGTACATACACACCCCATAGAGCACACACCACATAGAAAAAACAATATTCTGAATTTTCCAACTAGCTACAGAGACATGTACAAAACACCGCCACATTCGCCAGCACCATACCATCGGTAATTATGAGAATGGTTTTCTCCAGACCCGCGACAAGATCAGACGAACATGTGTATCGGGCGGGAGTGATGAAATTCGGGATGGAAAGGGTTAAAAGGTTCCGGGATGGGTCGTACGAGGTGAAGACAGTCTGATTAGGGGGCGTGGTCCAGACAAGATTCCCGGAGCCGAAACACTGGATTGTTAGCGAGGTTCCAAACGACGCCAACACCACGTTGCTGGTGAGGTCTTCGCTTTCTATCCGGATCATGGCTGGTGATGAGAGAGGGGGGCAGAGAGTGTGGTAAATAATAATACACATCAACTAGTGTGTACAATAGGACTTTGTTTGTCCCACTGAAAATGGTCCTATACAGTTGGAGTATGGAATGGTAATGTCTTCTATCTCGCTGCACCTGTTCCTATCTCGCCCAAAGTTTGCTGTCCACCCTATATAAGGGTGTCAACGATTTCACATTTTTTGTAGGCACATGAGTGGAAAAAGAGACAAACCAACTATCCTTAATGCTTTGACTGAAGTTGGAGTATGGAATGGTAACATCTTGTCTCGCTGCACCTATCCCTATCTCGCCCAAATTTTGCTATTGTACTACCACATATCTCATGGAAAATTTCGCAGAGTAAGATAATGTTGGCAGATCTCTTTTCAAAATCAGTGAAGTTTTTTCCCTCGTTAGCTTCCATTTATATGTGGGTGTCCCGTGTTAACGTATAGTTGGAGAGTATTGACTTACGGTTAATGTTGAGAGTGGATTCAGCGGTGTCAGTGTGACTGATGGTTGTCAGGGTGTTGTAGGCCGAACAGCTGTACCTCCCTCTGTCTCTGTACCGGGATCCAGTGATGGTCAGTGTGCTCGTCACTGTCACCGTGCCATCCTGTGTGTGATGGAGCAATACACCACTAGAGGGCGGGCACCTCTGGAATTGGGATTGTTGTAGGGGGTGTGGCAGTACGCAAGGGCTAATTTAGAAGAAGTTGCGAAGAACAGTAACATAACTGGATTATTCTTGTACTGGGCCCTATTGCTTAGTTCATCTTTATAACTGCCACATCCCTTTAAAAAGCACACAGCAGATAATGCTGGGGAAAGGTATACTTGACCTTACCTCGTTACTGTACGGGCTGCTGGTCTGAATGCCAGAGTCGATAGGCAGCATGCTGCCCTCTCTGGACCAGGTGATGGTGAGTGGAGGAGAGCCACGCGCCTCGCAGACAAGCCGGGTCTCCTCCCATTCGTCTACTGTCAGTTCTGATGGAGGTGGACCGGTGATGTTGGATGGAACTGAGGAGGGAGGGAGTCAGACACTTTGTGCGTTTTTTGTAGATCAAATCAGTATTGTGTGAAAATCAATTACCATCGACAGATTACATGCAACTATTAGGAGTACTACACGCTGAGGTTAACAGTACAGTGAAAACCTCTGAATAGGGGACACCTTGGGGACATTGGATGGGTCCTTGTTTCAGATGCATCCCTTAATCAGAGGTAATATAATACACTATGTATGAGGCTGGCAGAAACTTTCTAGAGAGGTGTCCTTTAATTGATGGTCCCTTCTCATGATGAGAGGTGTTTTGTAGCTAAACCATCAAATTTCCTGAGTATATACATCAGATGCTCACCAAGGACACTGAGAAAGATGAGGGTGTGTCCTCTGAAATTGAGTCCCTCCCGTGACTGGACTGTCACGTTATAAGTCCCGGATTCCTCCAGAGATGCGTCACTGATAACCAGATCGCTCGGTAGCGCATTCACCTCCTCCCCCGGCGCAGGGTATTCCAACACTGTGTCTCCACTCGGGTCTTTCCATTGGACATAAGTCAGTAGGCCGTTGGTAGTGGAGATGTATGTGGAGAGGGTTACAGTGTCCCCAGAGAATGCTTCAACGCTACTTTCCACTGGTATTAACCCTGGCACCTCTGGATATGGGAGGAGAGAGGAAGGAGAGAGGGAGGAGAGAGGGAGGAGAGAGGGAGGAGAGAGGGAAGAGAGAGGGAAGAGAGAAGGAGGAGAGAGGAAAGGGAGAGGGAGGAGAGAGGGAGTGAAAGAAAGAACACAGCATAACTGAATATCAAAGCGGATATCATGCTTCTAGCCTCTTAGATAACTAACTATCAGCAATATTGACATCCAGCCTACCATAATTAGATAGCTAACCATCAGTAATATTGAGATACTCCATTGCTCCGCCAGAAGCCATGCAGGCATACAGACCCAGATGGTTACTGCTCGTTGCGGTAAAGCTGATCCTGGTTCCTCCAGACACGTCCGTATTGTCTACAGACCCTCCAGGATCCACGCGTAGCCACGTAGTCTCGAGGCTACTGTGGAAGCAGTCTAACCAGTAAAACTGGTTCCCCGAGTTGGCCCCGCCCACTAGGACCGTTGCCACGCCCCAGACTTGGAAGGAGCATTCCTCAAGGTCTGAATTATCAATTAGTCGAACTCTCATCTGTTTGATGGCGAAATTGTTTCCTGTGTAGTACAGAGGGGCAGAGGAGGCACATGCAGCTGTGTGTGAGAGAGAAAGATGGAGTTCACACGTGAAGCAATGAAGAACAGCATTAAAGTGGAACCCCTCTAATGGGGACACCCGTGGAACAGAATAAAGTGTCCATATTCCCTATAATTAGTAGGGGTTATATTGTATGTAGCGACTGTAGTTGGGGGAAATAAATGAAGAGATGTGTCCTCAATTTCAGAGAGGTTATACAAGAGGGGAGGGGTTAACAGAGACGAGCTTCATATGTTGTTTACGAAAACAAACAGAGAGTTGTGATGGCTATATTTGCCAGCACTCCCTCGGAGACGGTCCGAGGGTCAGCAGTGAATGCTGACGCTCCAACGATATTCATAGGACGAGGTCGTTACTCATGTGAAAATTCTCAGAATGTTCCGAATAGCGCAGATGGGGATAACGAGCTTAGAGATTTGGGGGAGTGGCACTGTTTTACTTATAGAGTTAGGGGGAGGAGGGGGAGGTGGGAGCAAATATTGTACACATTGGGAGGGAGGAGGCTCTATAGACTGGCATTATATAGGTATGATATCATAAAGGGGTGTGGTAGGGTTCACGTTCAGAGTATGCAACATGTGGACGCATTTCACAATGAAATCGGGCAAAACGTGAAGTTTAGTACAAAAAAGTACCAAGCTGGGGTCACGTACACTGAACTGCCTACGCACCCTTACTGCAGCGACATGGCATTAAACCTGAATGAAAACACCATACCCGAATGAAAAGACCTTACACTAGTAACTGCACCACTGTAATTTTGACACTTGATATCTCCCCCCCATACCATGCTGGCGGCTGTATATACTGCGCCACTATAATAGCTGCGTTCTCAGGGGTGTCAACCTGCAAAATCTCTGGTGCCAAAAACGTGGCGCCAGGGACAGCCTTGGCGCTACACCCAATTGCCAACGTAATTGCGTAAAAACAACAGCTTGTAATCAGAACATCACGTGAGTCCATAGCCAAGGCCATCATGCCATACATGCATAAGGCGTGGTTTTTTATGAAGTTCATCTTGCTGAATCCTCTCTCACACGCTACCGAATCAGGTGAAATCGCAAATATGAGAAGGGTTAGGCGAACCAGTTCATTTTGGAGCAGTGCTGGAAGTCGACGAAGTGGCAGAGTTGCTATCCTCGTGACCGAGTTCAAAGTTCAGCTCGCGCGTATTTCCGAGGCGCGCTAGGGCCTGGCGCTTCATTTTCTCTGTCTGGCGCTTTCAAATTGCGCTTGGCGCTGATTTTAGCGCCATAGCGCCAGTTAGTGCATAGCTGATTCGAATTGACCAATCAGATTTGTTAGTACGAGGTTCCTGATTTCTCATATGAACCTCGTGAGCTAACAAAAGTAACATGAAAACATGATATGAAACCTTGTTTTTTCTGTTGATTTTCAACAAGTTCAACAGCATTTCATGTAGGAAATGTATCCCGCAAAACATGATCTGTACAAAATGTTGATCAAAATAACTGATATCTTGATTTTCTTTTTCCACAAGACAGTTTTCTGTGTCTGTTCTCCCTCCTTGCCATGTACATACTAGATAGCCAGGCAGGCAGCTCACGACCGCCCACAAACCACCGCACGCAAATAAGGGGGTGGGGCTCCGCGAGCGAGTGCGCGCGACAAAGCTACTATTAAGTCTACGGCGAACGCCTTCGGTATAGCAGCCCGCACAGCGCCTGAATTCTCCACTGTCGCCTCTCTCTGATTGTGATGGTTCGCGCAGGTCTCCTGTCGCGTTTCTTCGGATGAGTGGCGGAGGACAGTCCCGCAGGGGGAGTAGCTAGAGCGGCGGAGCAGCGTGTTTATTTTTCATAGACACCTCGTTTCAGGTGTCTAATGGCGTTTGCAGGTGGTCTACAGCAAACTCCCCGTACAAAATGGCTATTCTCAAAAGTCGTTATCTGCGCAAACCGGCCGATTCCGCGTTCGATATATGTAAGCGTAGAAGGCGCGACTGGCAAAGTAGCTCTTTTAAAATGCGTAGTGCACCTGCAAGAAGTCTGTGGACAGTCTCCGGAGCTCGCGAAAGTCGGAAATCACGTATATTCCACAGCCCCTCGGGATATACCGGATTTCAATGAACCCTCGGTTCATTGAAATCCGGTATGTCCCTCACACGTAGTATACATAACATATATTTAGACCGCAGTCACGCGCAATTGACCAATCAGATTACAGAATTGCGGGGGTTATTTTTCATAGACCCTCGTTTCAGGTGTCTAATGGCGTTTGCAGGTGGTCTACAGCAAACTCCCCGTACAAAATGGCTATTCTCAAAAGTCGTTATCTGCGGCAACCGGCGATTCCGCGTTCGATATATGTAAGCGTAGAAGGGGCGAATGGCAAGTAGCTCTTTTAAAATGACGTTTTAGTGCACCGCAAGAAAGGTCGTGGACGTTCGGAGCTCGCAAAGTCAGAAATCACGTAAATATCCACGAAAAAAGCGTCGCTTTTCAGCTCTGGCGTATACAAAAAACAACATATGGGCCGTTGCAGGTGTGCGTTGCAAACCCTTCAACAGCGCACCTCCAATGAGGGTGCGTTTATGATGACGTGTAAAACGATTTTGACGGGGGCGGGGGCTGTCTCTCGGAGTCTCACACGTTGTAAAAAAAGAGTCTTGTTCCATCCGAAGGTACGGATATGAAGGAGGAGCACAGCGTTGCTAGCTGTTGCTACCCATTTGAAGCGGCGCAAAACCCAATCAGAGACTCAGGTCTAAACCGGTTAGAGCGGAAGTCGGTTGTGTCTTACGCCAAACATGACAACCATCGGGCATGTGGGGGCTAGCGCCCTCGCTGCGATAGGGACGGCCAACATTCCACAGACCTCGGGTTGCAATGTAGCGTAGACACCTCGCTTCCGACGTCAACCTATATATAGTGACACTTAGCGGAATCTAATGGGTCTACGCCTCTTTGCACAACACATTTTCATGCAAGTGCAGTAAAACATAGCTATAGCTAAACGGTTTCCCTCCGTCACGCTCGATAGACACTGCAAAACCGCCCTCGCCCATCAGCCGCTCACACGTACCATCGACTGGCTCCGGCTGCAGCGATGCGTAGAGAAGAACCAACAAGGCGTGCAGAAACGCTCCAGCAGCTGATTGGCAAAACCTGCAGCCCCAAGCCATTCCCATTGTTCGTCCACTCGCACAGGTCTTGGAGTAATCTTTCCAAACTTGGTAGCTAGTTGTCGTCACACTTCCCGAGAATATTGGTCTGCTCCTGTTGGTGGCCTCAGCTAGCTAGTTCAATCATGGACGACGAAATACCAGAAATTGCGGGACATGACGAGTATGACGTCACGTAAAATTAAAAATAAATGTGCGTGAGCCAACGTACTAATTTCAAATGGAGGCCTTTCTTTCCTGCAGGTTTTCTCGAGACAGAGTTATCCTGGAAGATATGCCAAATTCGAAAGCTAATCTATAGTCACTACTCTCCAGAATGAGCTACATTTCCGCCCATCTCGGCCGGCTAACAACCGGACACGCCTACTTTTATTCGTACATTATTCGTCCCTATGTTACGTGTACATTTGGAAATAAATTTTGGAAACCTTGCTTCATAAAATGCCTTTTCCTTGGTCGTGCTTCAAAATTTTCTCGGTGCTCAATCGGATAATTGTAGAAGAGGCCTCAAAGATATTTTTGGTCAGGGGTTAGTATATAGGCCCAATACAAAGTTTAGCGGCCAAAATGGGTCAAAAATAGCCTATAAATTGTGCGAAATGGTAAATATTCAGAGCGCGCAGTGCAGACGTCCATGACCGAGTAAAGTTGTAGGACTCGATCAACTGTAGGACGTTTCTTGGGACGCTCTATATGCCAATAAACTTTGAATAGCCAGCTACAACAGACATCCCAACCCAGCCGCGACGAGCTACCGGGCGATGGCCGTCAAAATCCGAGTTTCCACAGTAGTATAAAGCTAGCAAGGCTAGCTATCCCTCCACTGCCAGTCCTGCCTGGACTAATAACTTATCCAGGTATTGGAACCTTCACGCCTACAGACACAAGAATGGTTCGACCAAAACCCCAAGCAACCGCGGCCTCTCTCAGTCGTCGTACCACCAAGCAAACGCCCCGCCAGTTAGCTGTGGCTTTTCTCACGCAGTTTCTCACGTGCAATGGACTCGAAGGTGCTTTAGTATCCACCAACATACATTCAAATGAGTGTCAATAACCACATTCACTAAACACAGAAAAAGTCAGTCTCTGGAAGGTGGTTCCGCTCGGCAAAGGACAGGCGTAGAGGTCGGGCCGTTCCTTGTTGGATAATACCATCAGAAGGGCAGGCAGACATCCATCACAACGTTATTCATGTCAAACCTTCTCCAACACAGAGTGGTGTAGCGAAGAGCTGGCGTATCCACCGTCTTCCTTCGAGAA